AATGATAAACAACAAAAACAAGTCATCTGCAGTCATTAAGATGACCAAATTTGTAACAGTTCAAATGAGAATTGTAAAGCAATTGTATATCTGGAACAAAAAAGAAAAAAGAATTCAGAAAAGGGAAAAAAACTTGTTTGTTAAAAACGTACAGATTTGGTGGATGAGATGACAGGGAGAGGATTTTCATCTGTCCGTTGAGGGTGTGTAAGGACAAGAAACCAGTCCAGACACACAGGGTGTGATGTTCATCACAGTTGACATTTATTACTGTTTACAAAGGATTACAATGAAGAACAGAAAGTGCTTGTGTATATATAGTATATACTGTCTTGTTCCTGTTCTGAGTACAGGGTGCACATGTGAATATTGAAATTTAACAAAAAAAAAAATATCCAGCATGTATTTATCACACCTCTGTCTAAACATTCCTTAGCTTCTTCTGTGTCAAATGTACAGAGTTTTCACCTCCTCCCTTCTCCCCCAGTTGCTTAATTGCAGGCTTTTTGCAATTCTATAATAAAGCTATTCCCTCTTTAACCAGCTTATATTTCCAAGGAAGAAAAGTCTTGGACTAATCAAAAGTGAGGAAGAAAGACACACTGCTCTCTGTTCAATAGTTCAATCTTCCATGAAAAACCCAGCTAGCCTCTGAAGCGCTTTTTTTAAAGGAGGATTGCTTTGTTAGGCATTTTTCTGGCACTGATTTGGTTCTTTTCCAAAAAGAAAAAAAAATCTGTCTTCCCAATCCACTGAAGATGACCAATGATCCTCCTCCATTCTTTGTTCTTGGTTTCTTAGGCCTCTGCTTAGCTGGTCAACCTTTCACCAACAGCATCTTGTGTAGACTATGGAAGAACTCTTCTTCCCCAGTCCCTTCCTATTGTAACTCTGATATATGTCTATGTGTGCCCATTTGCAGATGCTCTAAGACAGGGGTCTCCAACCTTGGCAACTTTAAGACTTGTGGACTTCAACTCCCAAAGCTGGCTGAGCAAAGCTGGCTGAGGAACTCTGGGCGTTGAAGTCCACAAGTCTTAAAGTTGCCAAAGTTGGAGACCCCTGCTCTAAGAAGTTACTTAAGAGTTTTTTTTTAATTATCTAGATGCTTTAAATCTTAAACATAGGTATCAGATTTCCCCCTCCTCCCCAAAAAAGCCCTTTAACACAATGCTGAGAGAAAAAGTGGAATTAAATTCTGGTTTTGGTTTTTGTAAACAAGCTGCAGACTAGCAACCATGAAGGCCTTGGAAAAGATGCTCATATGCTGTAATATGTCTATACCTAGAAAGATCAGAAATGGACACACCATGATATTCCCTTTGACAGCTAAAGTTGGACTTTAGAAAAGCAGGAGAGGAAGGAAACTGACACCTGTGGATTTTAGAAAACTCCTGCGAATACCAGGAGCCTGGTGGTGCAGTGGACTAAACTACTATTAAAGTAGTTTTTACCTGCCAGCTGCCTGCAATTACTGCGAGTTCAATTCTCATCAGGCTCAAGGTTGACTCAGCCTTCCATCCTTCCGAGGTAGGTAAAATGAGGACCCGGTTTGTGGGGGCAATAAGCTGACTTTATATAAAATAGAACACCGCTGGGGGTGGGGGGCAAAAGCCCTACTAAGCAGGTATATACAAAAGTATGAAGGCTATTGCTTAAAAGCATTGTAAGCAGCCCTGAGTCTCCGGAGAAGGGCGGCATATAAATCAAACAAACAAACAAATAGCCAAGAAAGCAAACTGATGGATCTGTATGAGCCGTGGTGGCGCAGTGGTTAGAGTGCAGTACTGCAGGCTACTTCTGCTGATCACCAGCTGCCAGCAGTTTGGTAGATCGAACCTCACCAGGCTCAAGGTTGACTCAGCCTTCCATCCCTCCGAGATGGGTAAAATGAGGACCCAGATTGTTGGGGGCAATATCCTGATTGTGTAAACCGCTTAGAGAGGGCTGTAAAGTACTATGAAGCGGTATATATAGTAAGTCTAAGTGCTATTGCTATGGATCATCAAACAAGTGAATCCAGAATTCTCACTTAAGGTTCAAATTAACCTACTTCAGACATATTATTTGAAGACCCAGCTATTTGAAAAAGGCTCTAATGCTGGAAAGGTGGAAGGCAACAAGATCATTGGGCTCTGTTACAGTGGTAATGAGTGCACCATTGGTGTGTGGGGGGGGGGGAGAGATAGATTAAAAGAACAGGTTGGGAATCTATGCAGCTGTTAGGAGTCAAAGGTGACTTGATGGCATCTAATCAATCAATTATGGAATCTCATCTAGATTGGCAGAAAAAAAGGAAGCCTATCTATCCATGAATTCTTGACTCTTAACAGCAAACTTTGCCTTTCACATCTTCTCCCAAAAGGAATTTTCCTAATTCCTTTCCCTCAAAAGAATTCTACTTGTTTGATTCCTTCTTGCTTGAGAGAATGTGATCACACAGAAACACACATGCAAAACACATACAAGTACTCCTTGCTTAATGACCAGTAGTTAAAAGCTACTTATGACCCATCGTTGATATTATGACTACTGCACAAACATCCTGTGAACACTTGGCAATCATGATTGTGTGACTGCAATTTGCAATTTTTTTGATGTTTTGTATTAGATAACAAAAAAAAATAATGCCCACTGGATATGTTGGATTCATTTAACAGTAGTACCTAGCAACCATGTGATTTGCTTAAGAACCAGTGACTCGCTTAATAACATTGTAAAAACGATTGTAAAATTGAGTCAGGTTACACGCTCAACAACCGCAATGACTTACAACCAAAATACCAGGCTCAATTCTGGTTCTAATTCGGGGTCTACCTATATAGATTTCTGTGTTCTACTTTGGATTCAGATTTAATGCTCAGTTGTTTGTTGAAAACACTAGAGGTCAGTATAGATTAAAAACAGGAAACATTTGTTTAGGCTGGTTTTTTTTAATTGAGGAAACAATAAAAGGGGACTCACTGAGCATTATTTTTGTTGGAGATATAAGAAAGGAGAGAAAAAGGAAAGACCATCTGTGATCCACCCATAGTGTAAAGCACTAGTAGTATATACAGTTGCAAGAAAAAGTATGTGAACCCCTTGGGATTATGTGGAGTTTTGCATGAATTGGTCATAAAATGTGCTCTGAACTTCATCTAAGTCACAATAGAAAAACACAGTCTGCTTAAAATAATACTACACAAACATTAGATGTTGCCGTGGTTTAATTGAACATAACATGTAAACATTCACAGTGCAGGGAGGAAAAAGTATGTGAGCCCCTAGCCTAATGACTTCTCCAAGAGCTAATTGGAGCCAGGAGTGAGCCAAACTTGACTCCAATCAGTGTGATGATATTGGATGTGTTGCTGACAGCTGTCCTGCCCTTTAAAAACACACACCTGTTTTGGGTTTACTGATTTCAAGAAGCAGTGTCTGATGTGAACCATGCCTCGCAGAAAAGAGCTCTCAGAAGACCTACGATCAAGAATTGTTGACTTGCATGAAGCTGGAAAGGGTTACAAAAGTATCTCCAAAAGCCTTGATGTTCATGTGTCCACGGTAAGACAGACTGTCTACAAATGGAGAAAGTTTAGCACTGTTGCTACTCTCCCTAGGCGTGGTCGTCCTGTAAAAATGACTGCAAGAGCACAGCGCAGAATGCTTCATGAGGTAAAGAAGAATCCTAGAGTGTCAGCTAAAGACCTATAGAAATCTCTGGCACATGCTAACATTTTTGTTGACACATCTACAATAAGGAAAACATTAAACAAGAATGGAGTACATGGGAGGACACCACGGAGGAAGCCATTGCTGTCCAAAAAAAATATTGCAGCACGTTTGAAGTTTGCAAAAGAGCACCTGGATGTTCCACAGCACTACTGGCAAAATATATTGTGGACAGATGAAACCAAAATTGAGTTGTTTGGGAAGAACACACAACACTATGTGTGGAGAAAAAAAGGCACAGCACACCAACATCAAAACCTCATCCCCACTGTAAAACATGGCGGAGGGAGCATCATGGTTTGGGGCTGCTTTGCTGCCTCAGGGCCTGGACGGATTGTTGTCATTGATGGGAAAATGAATTCCAGAGTTTATCAAGACATTTTGCAGGAAAACGTACGACCATCTGTCCGCCAACTGAAGCTCCGCAGAGGATGGGTGATGCAACAGGACAATGACCCAAAGCATACAAGTAATTCAACAAAAAATGGCTTCAACAGCACAGAATACGCCTTCTGGAGTGGCCCAGTCAGAGTCCTGACCTCAACCCGATTGAAATGCCGTGCATGACCTTAAGAGAACGATTCACACCAGACATCCCAAGAATATTGCTACACTGAAACAGTTTTGTGAAGAGGAGTGGTCCAAAATTACTCCAGATCGTTGTGCAGGTCTGATCTGCAACTACAGGAAACGTTTGGTTGAGGTTATTGCTGCCAAAGGAGGGTCAACCAGTTATTAAGTCCAAAGGTTCACATACTTTTTCCTTCCTGCACTGTGAATGTTTACATGTTATGTTCAATTAAACCACGGCAACATCTAATGTTTGTGTAGTATTATTTTAAGCAGACTGTGTTTTTCTATTGTTGTGACTTAGATGAAGTTCAGAGCTTTGTCAAGTTTTATGACCAATTCATGCAAAACTCCATGTAATCCCAAGGGGTTCACATACTTTTTCTTGCAACTGTAAGTCTAAATGCTATTGCTATTTATCATTTTAACATCTGAAGTGGACTGCTGGCCCATATTTATCGTGATCAAAAAGGATACTGTATGTACTACTGCAAGAGAAAAATTATTTGAGGAAATGTTTTGGCTTCCTAGACTGTTCACCCTATTCTATGGGGAAACAACATACATGACATTCTAAAACTAATTGATATACACCTGTCCTTAAGCTATTTACTACAAACCAAGCTCAACAGGTTCAACTAGCTGCAAGAAAGAAACAAGCAGTACATCAATCAATTTTGTCACTCATATTTTAGATGACATAAATGATTCACAAGTTTTCCATTTTTGTAGTTTTATTTCTTTATCAGATATTGGTATAATATGCCTTCAACCCAAGCATACAGATGTTTCTGGTATCTTACAGTAAACATACATTTTTCTCTTAACAACAAAATCCTCTGGAAGTTCTCCATTTTAAGATAACAATAATTACATGCTTTTTGTTCACAGCAAACTGATAGTATTGCTTATTTAAAAAAAAAGGAACCATGCATGGTGTTAAGGAAGTATGATCATTGCCCTTGTTCATGTACAAATTAAAATTCTTTTAAAATTAGTCTGTCTTCATATGTGTCAAACGCATTAAATATGTTGGGTGTGCAGTGCTTTGGATTTGAAAGGAACGCAGTGCTGCGCTTGGGTATCAATCATCTCTTGACAACTCATTTAACTAAAGCCTCTTTCCCAAGGCTAAACTGGGATTATGCTAATCTGGAACGAAGATGGGTGTATGACCAAAGAAAAGACACCACGCTTTCAAGAAGTTGCCAAGGGCCAGCATGAGCATTCCTGCAACATTCCAAAGCATCATTTTCCTTTTCGTATCCAAAACGCTGCACAGCCATATTAAATGTACGCTTTCCTTTCTAGAATGTTCTGAAATGACCAGAGAAGTGGCAAGTATGGATTAGCAATCATGGCTGTATATGCTAAAATATGGACTGTCCAAATCAGTCGAGTAAATTAAATTTTAGTTGATCTTAAGATTTAAACCTTAATGGGTCAATGAGAGACTGTATAAAAAGCATGCAAAACTTCTAAAAAACATTTAAATAAAGCCAAATGTGCCATGTGTAGTCCATAAAAATATACATTGTATATGAAAAGCACTTCAAATAGCAAGTATCTTTTTGCCAGGTGCCCCAATGTTCGTTCTTTGGCAACTTAAAAGGGGGATTGTTTATAGAATAATAACATTACTTTATAACTGCAGAAAACAAATGGAAATCTCAATAAAAAGTATGTTATTAATAACATAAGCTCCCGAATTACACAAGTGCTATGCATAACAAAATTATATAGAAAAATATAATTTCATTAAGGTCATTTGAATATTTACTCTTATACCTCTTATATCTGTACTTGGAAAGTTAGGCTCCTTTCTCCTACTTTAAACATATCTAAAACATCCTCTCTTATTATTCAAAGTCAGTAAAATAAAAAAAAAAGAGGCCTCTGGATTTGATGATTCATCTACTGCCTGCTATATTAAGTTACTACAGGTTGCCGACAAATTGGGCAAGTGGAATTTTCAGAAAGCCACCGATCAATACAATGAAAATGGAATTCATGCATGCATGGTAATTGCCTTAGCTTGTTTCCTACAACATATTCATTAATGCACACGCTACACATCTTACTTATTTCATCATCTTCTGAATGGGGATTCTCATAATTCCGCGTAGAAAGATTATCAATCTGGTCTTTGGTCAACCCTCTCAAGTTGTCACTGGAATCTTCTTCTAATAAAAGGTAAGGTACAAGGCGAAGGATGGGAAGTGTTCCATTTCAACAAATGAAGCTCTGCTATTTGGGGTATTATTATTTTGATGGTGTTGGATAGAATTTGTTTCTCCCTGCCTTTCCCTGCTACCTTGTTCAGTTAATCTATCCCCAGGCGAAGTTGTATTAAATACATCAATATTATTTAAAGTGTCCAAGTTAGGCACTGGAGGCTGAACTTCCGACAAGTGCTGACTATTCCTCTCAGTTTCAGAACCTGTTTCTGTATCCATTAAGGAGCTTAGCTCTCCAAATCCAGTCATAATTTGCCTTAAAATTGATCGGACAGCCACCGATGAAGATTCACCGAGTCCAGTATCTGATGCCCTATGAAGAGGTATCCGTATAGTGTTAACGTATGTCCGTATTCCTGCATATTCAGACCGTGAAACGTTCTGAATAAATCCTTCGTTATCACTTTCGAGAGTCACCAAGTTGTCTGCCATGCCTGCTCTTGAACGAGTTCTAGAAGCAATACTGTCACGGTCTCTATTTTCTCTGGGACGAATTCTCCTCACCTGAAGATCTAATGTAATACTAGGATGCCTTCTAGATGCAGCTGCGGCTCTTACAGATTCTTCCTCTTCCAGAGTTACACCCAGTGATGATGCTTGTTCCTCAGTTTGTTCTGTAGAAGGTTGGGTTGTGTGCGCCCTATTAGCTCCTGCATGTATTTGTTGTATATTGACTGGTTGCCCATTTTCCAAAAGAGATTGGAATTGGCCTCTAAAAGTTGATCTTAATCTTAAAACCTCCGTTCTTTGCCTTGAACTTCTTCGAGTTCTAGCTCTCCCTCTGTGATATCTTACTGGAGTCACTCTCTGTGTTCTCCTTTGTCTAATGATGTTGTGTTCATTGTCGTCTAAAAGGCTGTTAGGTGTTGAACTTGCCGAACTTCTAGCTCCAAGTCTACCAGAGAAGAATCGAGAATTTTCTTCAGCATTCTGAGTCAGCAAACCACTAGCGTTTCCAATTCCTGATGAGACAAATCCATGGCCAACAGAATTAGCTAATGTCCTGCTCCTAGTTCGGCTGGCTACTGGGCTATTTGCAATTACTGGTCTATTTTCCGTATGCATTCTACTGGAATGGCCATGTAAGAGCTCATTCAGTTGTTCCCCAGGAGTAATATCATTGTTCTGTTCGTGGTTTATATTTATTTCAAGACTAAATCGGAATTCTCCACTACTTGGGTTTGCCTGGCTTACAGCTCTCCAACTCTGGTTTCCACTCTGGCCACTATGGGTGGAATTTCCTGTATGATGAAATGTGTTCAGCCACTCAAGCAAAGAGTTGCTGGTTATGTTTTCCCCAAGCGTCTCTGAATCTGTGAGTAATTAAAGAAATACATTTTTAGGAGTTTTGGTTTGATTTCATTTAGATAAGACAATTAAGTATGAGTGTCACTTGATAATATAAATACATGCTCCTTACAGAAATAATATGAAGTGTAATCCAATATACTGTTCTTTTCTGTACTATACTATTTTACCACAGAGAGCTAAATACAATTTCTATTTTCATTGTCAAAATCCAGTAATTGCTTTCAATACTGTAATACATGAGCTATGTCAATTACCCAAAATAGGATAGAGATTATAGGCATATATTCTATATTATCAACAATGTTTTGAATAAGTTTTTTTCCCCAAAATTAGTAAGAGTTGTTTGTAAAATTTCATGTCAATTAACTGACTAAAGTACTCTCTAAAGTTTTTAACTTGGTCCAATGTATAAAAAGAAAGAATACAAAATGGTATCCCATCCCATAATAAGCAAAGTTCATAATAAGATGGTTAAAGAGAAAAATAAAAAATTTACATGATCTGAAATATCCCTAGATTTTTCAATTACAATTTATTTCAGATAATTTTTTTTCTTAACAACATGCATTCTTAATGCTTCTGGAAAAAAAACCCACAGAATATCTATCCCTTCTAACAAGGTATGCTTGTTAGTCTTCACCTTCCATCTAAACCTTCACCAGCCACATCCAAGATGTACTTTGGTTTAGTGGTTAAGGCACCAAGATAGAAACCAGAAGATTGTGAGTTCTAGTCCCGCCTTAGTCATGAAGATCAGGTGGGTGACCTTTAGCCAATCACTTTCTCTCAGCCCAATTCACCTCACAGGGTTGTTGTAGTGGTGAAAATAAAAGGAGGAAGCAGAATTATGTAGGTTTGTTGCCTTGAGTTATTTATAAAAATAATAAGGGGGGGAAATAAACAAATGGTAACAGCATAGATATTTTGCAGCTTTCCCCCTAGAAATAAAGTATCAAACTTTTTCCAACAAGCACTTTTTTCAAAATTCCAACCCTGGTTTTCTTTAATTCCCTTTCACAGTTCTCCACAAATAATCCTCTTCCTTAGCCTCAGAGAAGCTCATGAAGTATGTTGGCTGATGAGTCTAATAAATATTTTTTTTCTAAAGCATATATATAAATTGCATTTTTCTCCAAAACTATATTAATTAAAAGAAAACGACAGGAAGGAAGGGAAGGGAAGGGAAGGGAAGGGAAGGGAAGGGAAGGGAAGGGAAGGGAAGGGAAGGGAAGGGAGGAAGGAAGGGAGGAAGGGAAGGAAGGAAGGAAGGAAGGAAGGAAGGAAGGAAGGAAGGAAGGAAGGAAGGAAGATTTAGTTTACATCGAGCAGTATTACCTTCCCATTCTCTATTTTCTGGCTCAGATTGGGATGACTGATTTTCCTTTGCACTTTGCAAACGTTGCTGCAGCTCATCTGCTGTTATTTCCCCTAAAAGAGTTTGTTTTATGCTGTTAATTTTATTTATTATCCGAATGCACATAAACAGACAAAACAATAGTTGCTATTATAATTGAAGATTTTTTTTAAAGAAATAAATGGAAAACCAGAATGGTAAAAATCCATAAACCACAAAATCTTTCATAATTTTTCCTTGCAATTATAAGTCATTTGCCTAAAAAGTTAAGTGACCTCAAACTATTGTGTATTTCTTCTATGCAATGCTGTTATCTGATATTTAAGAAACTGTATTTGCTCTACTTTGTATGTACTTTCTGCAAGCTTTATCCAAAATCAATTAGAAAAGATTAAATGAAAAAAAATTGCAATACATATTTTAAAAATCCTGGTAATAGTATAATCAATGAAATAAAATTTAAATAAATAGAATTAAATTTATTTCTCATTAAGATTCAGGGCATATACAGTGGGGCAAAAAAGTATTTAGTCAGCCACCAATTGTGCAAGTTCTCCCACTTAAAAAGATGAGAGAGGCCTGTAATTGTCATCGTAGGTAGACCTCAACTATGAGAGATAAAATGAGAAAACAAATCCAGACAATCACATTGTCTGATTTTGGAAAGAATTTATTTGCAAATTATGGTGGAAAATAAGTATTTGGTTAATATCAAAAGTTCATCTCAATACTTTGTTATATATCCTTTGTTGGCAATGACAGAGGTCAAACGTTTTCTGTAAGTCTTCACAAGGTTGGCACACACTGTTGCTGGTATGTTGGCCCATTCCTCCATGCAAATCTCCTCTAGAGCAGTGATGTTTTGGGGCTGTTGCTGGGCAACACGGACTTTCAACTCCCTCCAAAGGTTTTTTATGGGGTTGAGATCTGGAAACTGGCTAGGCCACTCCAGGACCTTGAAATGCTTCTTACGAAGCCACTCCTTTGTTGCCCGGGCGGTGTGTTTGGGATCACTGTCATGCTGAAAGACCCAGCCACGTTTCATCTTCAATGCCCTTGCTGATGGAAGGAGGTTTGCACTCAAAATCTCACGATACATGGCCCCATTCATTCTTTCCTGTACACGGATCAGTCGTCCTGGTCCCTTTGCAGAGAAACGCCCCCAAAGCATGATGTTGCCACCCCCATGCTTCACAGTAGGTATGGTGTTCTTTGGATGCAACTCAGCATTCTCTCTCCTCCAAACACGACAAGTTGTGTTTCTACCAAACAGTTCTACTTTGGTTTCATCTGACCATATGACATTCTCCCAATCCTCTTTTGGATCATCCAAATGCTCTCTAGCAAACTTCAGACGGGCCCGGACATGTACTGGCTTAAGCAGGGGGACACGTCTGGCACTGCAGGATCTGAGTCCCTGGCGCGTAGTGTGTTACTGATGGTAGCCTTTGTTACGTTGGTCCCAGCTCTCTGCAGGTCATTCACTAGGTCCCCCTGTGGGTTCTGGGATTTTTGCTCACCGTTCTTGTGATCATTTTGACCCCGCGGGGTGAGATCTTGCATGGAGCCCCAGATCGAGGGAGATTATCAGTGGTCTTGTATGTCTTCCATTTTCTAATTATTGCTCCTACAGTTGATTTCTTCACACCAAGATGCTTGCCTATTGCAGATTCAGTCTTCCCAGCCTGGTGCAGGTCTACAATTTTGTTTCTGGTGTCCTTCGACAGCTCTTTGGTCTTCACCATAGTGGAGTTTGGAGTGTGACTGTTTGAGGTTGTGGACAGGTGTCTTTTATACTGATAACAAGTTCAAACAGGTGCCATTAATACAGGTAATGAGTGGAAGACAGAGGAGCCTCTTAAAGAAGTTACAGGTCTGTGAGAGCCAGAAATCTTGTTTGTAGGTGACCAAATACTTATTTTCCACCATAATTTGCAAATAAATTCTTTCCAAATCAGACAATCTGATTGTCTGGATTTGTTTTCTCATTTTGTCTCTCATAGTTGAGGTCTACTTTTGATGACAATTACAGGCCTCTCTCATCTTTTTAAGTGGGAGAACTTGCACAATTGGTGGCTGACTAAATACTTTTTTGCCCCACTGTAAGTAACAAATGGTATCATTTATCTACTATGATACCATAAATTTTGTGTGCAATTTAAAAATAAAAGTTAAAGTATTATTTGAATTAATTTTAATTATCAAACTGCAGATAATTCAGTATTACATTCGATGTAAAGTATTTTAAACTAAGAGTCACCTGGAGTCCCAAGAAGGTTGCGATCCCTCATTAATCTGTAGTCTTCATCACTAAGCGCATTAATGAATTGATAATAAGCTTCCTCTCTGTTGAGGCGTTCCTGCTGCCATTGCCTCTCATTATCACCACTGTTATTCTGAGAAGTGGCCTGTTCTCCATTTTCTCCTGAGCAAGTTCTAGAACAAGCCATTCTGGAAGAAATAAACTATTTAAAAAGGGAAGAAAAAAAAAATCAAGTGACTTATCAATTGAATGTTCCGTATGGTTTTAAAGTTACTAAAGAAGAAACAATAACACATGTTCACATATTTGTCAATTCAATATATGCATGCAATGAACTGTACACTTAATTTATTTGTGGAACAGCATGAATTTTGGAGTAAGTTCCAATGTACATAATATAAATTATTACACAGTAAACATATGTAGAATTGAACTTCAAGTTTTTATTTGATATTAGAGTTTAGTGCTAGAGATCAAAGCTTTATTATTATTATTTTTTTGGTCAGGTTACAACTGATAACAATCCACGGTACAAAATACTATTATGCTACAGTATCAATGCTACAAAGTATCATAGTTTATACTAAACAGCATTACATATCATTACACTTTTCTTAATCTATTTCTTTGGGGGCATCTTCAACATCAGACAAAAAGGAAAAATCAGTAATAGCTAATCAGAAACTCCAGCATCAAAAGAAATATATATACATAGAAAACAAAAATAAAACTCCAGATGACAGGCTCCCATAGTGAATCAGCTGGGATAGAAATTGCACTGAAACGCTACAGTTTTGACCTGTTTGCAGAACTGCAGAAAGTAGAGTTACACATACTTCCAGGGAGACTATTCCATAAACTAGATAAAATCTGCCATGTCATTCTTTGTCTGCAAACATCACAAAGGAACTTTCAGCAGACCTTCCATTAAAGACTATAACACAGTGTGTCAAATCTATGTCACTCATTATAAATGCAGAGAAACATGTTTAATTTCGAATGCAGGTTGGTCATCACTCATTCCTTCAACAGTTATATATCCTGCAAATCCCTATCAAGGTTGGGTTTATAAATGCATTTTATATTTAAAGAATTGTGAAAATTCTTTGCTAAGCTATCAGGTAATTTGGCCATTAGCCATTGTCAAATACCAAAACTGTACTACACAGAAATACCTCATTAGACAATTAATTTCAATTAATTGAAAGAGAGTAAAGAACTGATTAAATGTGGGTACGATTTATTCATTTACAGAATTGGAATATTTTTATTTATTTAAAAAATAAATGCATCCAGGTATTTAAAAGCCAATAAAAGTTCATAAGAATGAAGAATCAACAGTTAAAACAGTTCTCAAATCAATATTACCTCCCCCCCCTCTTTTCCTAAGGAGAGAAAATGAAGATTTTAACACTGTATAATGTTGATACTCCTCTGAGTTATACTGAGCATCTTCAGTTTTCCAGAGTTCTTTGAACAGGGAATTGAAATTGGATTATATATGAATCCTATTCATGACAAAATAAAAACATGTGCTGAATATTTTGTGATAACAGGCAAAAAAATATCGACCAAGAGGATCATCAGGCAGTCTCTCCTCTATTATGTCTATAGATTCACCTTTTAGAACATGCTATCATTGACTACTTCTTTAAAAAATGCAATGACAGCAGATATATCATATCTGTACAAGTCCTAGTTTTAGAAATAAGGATCTGTCATGACATAAACAGTAGAAGTACAAATTCACTCATATCAGACAGTTTTAGAAATCCTTTTGATGCTCCTTTTTACAGATATTCATTATATTAAATATTAATATTTAATATTAAATCTTGACAACCCTCTCTCATGTGTGAATAAATGGGAGGAACAGTAAGGATTGGGATACTATCCCAGCAAATAAATACGCGACTAATCCAGAAAACTCGTTAAACCTGACATTCCACTGCTATTTTCCTGCCCTACACAACTCCCAGTGAACAAGAGCAAGATGACATGAAGTGCCTTATTCCTTTGCCAAGGACTACTTTCAGGAAACAGCAAATAAAGGTGTGTTGTTAACTCTGGAAAAGGAAGGACTATTGAATACCTTATCCAAGGATCCTAGCAATTTCGGGATTGTGTGATTCTCTTCTTCCACCCACCATGAAAGGCGCATTTCCCCAGGAACAGATCCTTAATCTATAACCATAAAGGCGCTTACAGTCTCTAGCAGCAACTTCCCTGTAGCATAAGCTTTTGCGGGCTGATCCTTTCCCAAGGCATCTTACGGTATACCTTGTGAATAGGTGGAGGAATTATATCAATTTAGGGTTTTTCTTTTCCAGGTTTTTAATCTATTGCCACAAAGGCGCTTACAGTCTCTAGCAGCAACTTCCCTGTAGCATTAGCTTTTGCAGACTGATCCTTTCCCAAGGCATCTTACGGTATACCTTGTGAATAAGTGGAGGAATAATACCAATTTAGGGTTTTTCTTTTCCAGGTTTTTAATCTATTACCACAAAGGTGCTTACAGTCTCTAGCAGCAACTTCACTGTAGCATAAGCTTTTGCGGGCTGATCCTTTCCCAAGGCATCTTACGGTATACCTTGTGAATAGGTGGAGGAATTATATCAATTTAGGATTTTTCTTTTCCAGGTTTTTAATCTATTGCCACAAAGGTGCTTACAGTCTCTAGCAGCAACTTCACTGTAGCATAAGCTTTTGCAGACTGATCCTTTCCCAAGGCATCTTACGGTATACCTTGTGAATAGGTGGAGGAATAATACCAATTTAGGATTTTTCTTTTCCAGACGCTTACAGTCTCTAGCAGCAACTTCCCTGTAGCATAAGCTTTTGCAGACTGATCTTTTCCCAAGGCATCTTACAATATACAGTATATATACCAATTTAGGGTTTCCTTTTTCTTTACCTGTCTGGATTTCTTTCCGTCTTGGTTGATGGCGCTGATCTCTTCCCTCCTCGCCTGGAGACTTAGAGGAGGGGCGGGGGTGAGGAGAGAACGATTAACACCACGACCAACCGGCCATCCACTGAAGGAAGGAACAGGGCTGAGCAGCATCCAATTGACCCCGTTAGCCCGGCAGTCTAAAGGTAAGTGCCTGTAGCAGCCAATAGCCCGGGAGATCACAGCTGTCGCCAGGAAAAGGTTAAGCGGCAATTACTTATCCCCTCCACCCCCCTTGCCCGCCGAAGGCCGGTTTTCTTACAACCCCATCGCAGCCAACGTTCATCTTCTCTGGGCGGCAGCAGCTTCCGAGAAAGGGACCGGACCAACTACCGTACCAGTCGTTGAGGTGCGGCAGCAAAGCAATCCCGTCGGGTTCTGATGCCTGAGCTCATGGGTTCCGGGGCAAATGCGCATGCGCGAACGCTTGCATTTACTGAGCCAACGGCGGGTTTACGGGAAGTTGCACGCGAAAGCGGAAAGAGCGACGGGCTTTTCGGACCGGCGGCTGCTTTTTTTCCTTGCCACCTCGCTCGCGAAAGGACCCTGGAAACCCGAGTCGCGGTGACAGTCTTAGGATGGGCCGGCACCAGTATCGCGCCGGTGATAGAAAGAGAGAAAGCAGATGTATTTTTTTATTTATTTTTTGTGTGCGCTACAATATTGAACGTGGCGTTTTAGAAGGCCATGGCTGATTCCAAGAAAGCTAAGTGGGGTCAGATTTGATTAATCTTCGGTTAGGATGGGGACCCAGGAAATCCTAGGTATTTTCCATCCTGGGAAAATGGAAAAAGTAGCAGGGGGAAAAAAAACAATAGCAAACTACTTATATGGGTATCAAATTTAAAACTATTTCATTCATCTATAGCAAAATTGGATCCATTCATGAAAGTACCCGAGATCATACGAATTTGTTTTTTGCAGAATTTCCATGAAGATAACTGCTATTTCTTTGTATCTGATCTGTGTATATAAACCCTTGCTAGGTTCATAAAATGGTTAACTCATCTGAGAGTAACTCAACCCAATTATCTGAATTTGCATGCCATTCTAACCAGAAATTAATCAGTTGTTGTGGTTTACATAACGCATACGCAATAGTGTGGTTGGTTATTTTTTATTTAGTATTTTATATAAAGTCAGCCAGCTCTCAATTAGTTCAGTTAATGAATTCCATAAAGTGGTCATATTATTTGAATTGCCCTATTTAAAGTGGAAAATTTGAATATTTTCTATGAGAAATACTGCAATTGCTTGCAGCTAGGCAATGACAATTTTTCAATATAATTTCTTGTATATACTGAAATATTACTGGTAAAAGGGTATACTTATAATTTAGCAGTCTACCATAGATCCATACAGTTCTACAGCTATTCTTTTATGCTATGATCATATTTATGTCATTGATTTTTGTTCTAATGTAATAATGGGCCTGTTCTTTTTTTGAAATTGTACTTGTTTCCTCTGATGAAATCTTTTTCTCCATTTTGCACATAAAGATTAGCAGCGTCTGAAACCTCAAATGCAGGCATTTGCCTTAACTGTATACACACTAGCCTTGAATTAACTGAATTGTGGGTTGCATTAAATGTAACCAGGCATTAGTTTACAATTCATACTAAATCCAAAAATGCATAATTCGAACTCACATGAATCATAAAGTACTTGTATTGTCCCAGAGAGACACTCCAAGGCCAAAAAGCAAGCAGCAAAAGTGGGAAATATAGTATTATAATATCTATAATTACTGGTAGATACATTGATTCCTGATGCTCAGCAGTAAAGCTTTCTCAGATCCCAAAACTAACTTAGCCTTAGTCAATACCCAACTAATTTTGAAGATTCACATGCTTCTCTCCTGCCAAGTTATCAATTGCTTGCTGTTATAATACTTATCAGTAACCATGCTGCATTCCTGCCTCATACATAACTGGGTCATTTCAAGATCCAGCATGTTGTGCAAATTCATAATCCTTTAAATTATTTTAAATTGAAGCATCCTAAATCAATTGTTAGAAGTACTTTTCTCTAGTCATATTGCTACTAAAGTGACTTTACTACTATTCATAATAATACAATCATAAGAATCTATGACCATAACTCCATTAATCTAGAATTAATAGTCTTGTACTACCCAGTCAGTTGCCTGGAAATGAGATTTAAGCATAAAATGGCTAACAAAATTGTCCCTCACAATGACAGAACCTGTTTTCCAAGGACTTCATTAAGCTGCAGTGTTCAAGCCATGCCTTCTGCTACCAGTCTGACTGTGGGGAAGGGACTGTTTACATATTAAAGCTTTGACAATACTTTCTTCTACAAGAGATATAAGTGAAAACAGAACAGAAGGAAGCAGAGGAACCACATTCTTTAAAATGATTGCCCTTTATTCAATTAGTGTAATTATTCTAGATCAAAACAGTAAAGATTAGATAGTAACTGACTGGATTTAAACATACAGTGTGACCTTAACCAGTGAGTTTCAACTGAAAGAACCCTACAGCAATCACAAAATATGTTGGGAAAATGAAACTGAATAAAATACTTTGGTCTCTAGTAATATTTTATTTTGTAGAAATTGCAATAGTTTAATTACATCAGAGATACTTAACAGAATAACAGAGTTGAAAGAGACCTTGGAGGTCTTAGAGTCCAACCCCCTGCTCAAGCAGGAGATCCCATACTATTCCAGACAGATGGCTGTCGAGTCTCTTCTTAAAAGCCTCCAGTGATGGAGCACCCACAACTTCAGAAGGCAAGCCATTCCACTGGTTAATTGTTCTCACTGTTAGGATATTTCTCCTTCATTCTAGATTGCTCCTCTCTTTGATTAGTTTCCATCCATTGTTTCTTGTCTTGCTTTTTGGTGCTTTGGAAAATAGGTTGACCCCTTCTTCCATGTGGCAGCCCCATAAATATTGGAAAACTGCTATCATGTCACCCTTAGTCCTTCTTTTCACTAGACTAGCCATGCCCAGTTCCTGCAACCTTCCTTCAGGTGTTTTAGCCTCCAGCCCCTGCTCCATCTTTGCTGCTCTTTTCTGCACTCTTTCCAGAGTCTCAACATTTTTTAATAATATGGTGACCAAAACCGGATGTGGTCTTACTTATAACTTATATACTTCCAAAATAAATACAGATGTTTCATTCTCTTTATAACACTGCCCTTGTGTTTGAAGCAATCTATTCTATGGGATTGTTTTGGAGAAAGCATAGTCTATGTTGCCTCAAACACCTTAATGAAAGGGTGGATAGAAATCCAATAAATGATAATAAATGATAAAGCAGATCTCAATAATCATAGATACTCTACAAATTTTTTCCAATCTGGGAAAGTTCTGGGGAAGTCTGAGAATTCTGGAAACTGTAGTCCAAGTGCAACCGCAAAAGACCAATTTGAGAAAGACTGTATTATAAAACTTTAACAGAAAAACATATTATTGATATTAATCCAAACTGTTGTTATTTAAGCACGATGAAAATAATAAAAACATAAAATAGAGCGGTGTAGTTTGGCATAATAATCTTGTTTCCAAAAATAAACTTGGAACTGTTCCATGAAATCTTTTGCTTGGCACTGCAATTTACTTTTGTCATATAGTCTTGCCCATTTATCAATTATTTTATATGCATGGCCTATAAAGTCAAGGTATTATTTAACTGAATCATCAAAAAAATGATTAAGTATGCAGTTTAGTGAATCAGCAATTCGCATAATTAGTTTTAGGATTTTCAATCCTCAGTCAATGATTTATTTTTTTCAAAAATAAGTGGCAATGAAATGTTTATCTAACTGACCAGACAAGGAGAAGTGAGGATAACGAAAACATCCTGCAGTATTTTTGCTGAATTGTGATTAACATTACTGCTTGCTCATGTCTGCACCAAAAGCTCTTCTTCAGCTAAGGCATAACTTTTGAAGTTGGTTTAAAAATTGACTGCCTGTGGCAAGACTGTAAAAAATTAACACATCACTGTAGAGTCTGCAGTGATAGAACTCTCTAGTAAACAATTTATGGCATAATAATAGCACCCAAGTTTTGAGACAAACTAGTACTGTGATTTCATCATTAAAAATGTCCATTAAAAGTGATGGAAGAAACCTCTCTGCTTAGGTAGTGTTTTTCACAACAGGAGACAGGCCACAACAGGCAATAGATAGTTCTCAAATGTGGAGTCTTACCAGCGATCCTTGAAGTTGCAATGGTTGTTATATCCCTGTGGTCGTCACAGGATCATGATTCAGGCACCTGGCAACCATCTAGCATTTACAATGGTCACAGCATCCTGCAGTCATGTGATTGCCATTTGCAACTTTCCTTGCTGGGTTCCCAACAAGCAAAATCAATGGGAAGCCAACAAGAACTTGCAAGATACGGTCACGTAATATCATGCTTAATGACTTTGTGAAAGTTGCTTACAACCACAACTAGAACTGCTGTTGTAAGTCAGTGCATTTATGTGACGTTGCGCTTTCACTTAGCAGCAGAACTCCCAGGACCAATTACATTACCATCGTTAACATCACCTATACTTTGCTTAAAAAAGGAGTTAAGAAGTTCCTTTTGTTTTTTAGCCTCGTTAGGAAACGGAGAAGTTTTGTGAAGTCTTCAACTAGTGCTTCTTTTAAATTATCACACTTTATTACCATCACCCTCAAAATAAAGCTGGAATGTTTTGTTTGGGTTATGTCACCATTCTGCCCTAATGCCACGCCAGTTTTGAAGATTGCTGTAGCTCCTGGGTTAATGTTACCTATCAGTTACTTTAAAGACGTAATCTTTTCCGCGAGAGCATGACACTCAGACCCCCAAAACCAGTTTCCAGAAATAGGTTTCCATGGAAACTAGAGGAAACCCCTCCTCGCCAAACACATACGTAAACTACAACGCCCAGCATGCGCCTGGCTTTCCTCTTGGCAAATTTCTCCGATTACAGCCGGTAAAACTCCAACTCCCAGCATACACCAAACACATATCCGGTTAATGTGTGTAACGACGGCTCCCCCCCTCCAAGGCGCTTAGAATATACGTTTCTTAATGCGGCCCGTGTTGATTTCCCGTAGCGCTGCTGCCAAAGTCTTTAGCTGGCAGCTATGGCGCGGTGCATGTCGGGGAGGGAAACTGCCCGGGGAGGAGGGGCCGCCTCGGAGCCGGTTGGATTCCACGTGGTGCGCTCTCGAGGACGAGGGGAGACTCGGAAAAAAAAAGAGAGAGGAGAGAGAGGGGCGACGCTTTGCGACGCTCTCCTTTTGCAGCAGCGCGGTCAGGCGCGGTTGCCGTATATCGAGAAACGAGATACCGGCTGGCGTAGAGCCGCTTTGCCTGTGTGGCTCTTGAGCCGGCAGCGAGGAGGAGGAGGAG